TATGAATGCTAGCAGTCCCCTATACTATTTTTTTTTTTTTTGTATCAGAATTAGGTGCTATTTAAGTGCTCCTAAATAGTCGAAGAAAAACTTGAATCAGTTAATTATTAACTGAATTACAGATTTTTTCCATTATTAGGAAATTGTTGGCTTTACTTTTACTTGGTGATGTGTGAGAATAGAAAAAAAAATTCGGGGTTTATATAATAATAATAATTAGGTGCTTTTTAGGTGCTAATTAGGGCTACTAATTAAAAATTAGGTGCTCCTTTAGTTTTTGAGATTATAAAAAAAAAACAAAGGGACTACTAGGTTAATGGAAACTAGCAGTCCCTTAAAGTAAAAAATATTTTTTCAAATTTTTCGTTTGTATCAGAATTAGGTGCTTTTTAGGTGCTCCTAAATAGTCGAAGAAAAAATTGAAGCGATTGATTATTAAATGAGTTACAGATTTTTTTTTATTATTAGGGAACTGCTGGCTTTACTTTTACTAAGTAGTGGTGTGTCAGAATGGAAAAAAACTTCGAAATCTTTATAATAATTAGGTGCTTTTTAGGTGCTTATCAGGGCCTCTAATCAAAAATTAGGCGCTCCTTTAGTTTTTGGGGAAATCAAAAACTAAGGGCGCACCTAATTTTCAATTAGAGGCCCTAAGTAGCACCTAAAAAGCTAAAAAGCACTAACTATTACATAGATCCCGAAGTTTTTTCCCATTCTGACACACCAACAAGTAAACATAAAGCTAGCAGTCCCCTAATAATTAAAAAAAAATCTGTAACTCAGTTAATAATTAATCAATTCTATTTTTTCTTCGACTATTTGAGAGCACCTAAAAAGCACCTTATTCTGATACAAAAGAAAATTTTGGAAAAATATTTTTCACTATAGGGGACTAATAGCTTCCATAAACCTAGCAATCCCTTAGTTTTTTTTTGATTTTCTCAAAAACTAAAGGAGCACCTAATTTTTAATTAGAGGCCCTAATTAGCACCTAAAAAGCACCTAATTATTATGTAGTTCCCGAAGTTTTTTTCCACCTTGGGACTGCTAGGTTTATAGACGCGATCTTATGAGACAAAATAAATTTCACGATTGTCATGAAATTGAAATATGTTATGCTTCTCGACATCCTGAATGTAAGTTCTTGTAGGCCCAAAAAGATCCTATGGTTAGTTTCGGAGATACGGGGCCGGGTTAACATACAAAATTTTGACAAAAAATAGAAATTTTTTAGGTTAAAAATTTGTCGAAAAATGCCAAAAATGTGTTATTTTTGGTTATGAATTAAATTGATGTATAATAGACCAGGAGATTCTGGAGATTTTTTGTGTGCTAATTTATCTTTTATCGGTCCTGTATCTCCGAAACTAATCATAGGATCTTTTTGGGCCTACGAGAACTTGCGTTCAGGAGGTCGAGAAGCATAACATATTTCAATTTCATAACAATCGTGAAATTTATTTTTTTCTCATAAGATCCGTGCGTGGTCCTTTTCAGTTGAATGAGCGTCATTTTCACAGGAAATATCCCCGGGGGGATTCCCCGATGATTCCCCAGTCACTGGCTGTTCGCTGTTGGCGTTGAGGTCTGGGCAGGGACTCCGTGCCATGTAGAATTTACATTCGACATATCGAATGTGCCGAGTCTATAGAATCCTGTTGATATGTAGAATTCTACATGACACGGAGTCTCTGATGGGCTGGCCAGGCGTGGTGTAGTGTACTGATGCCAAGTGTAATTATTTATATCAAGTGGCTTGCTGTATTTTGGAAGGATATTTTATTTTTAGAACAAAAGTCATAATTTTTGTAATACTTTTGCTAGAGCAGGAACCGAGGCAGAACCTATACTTCAAATTTGAATAAAAAACCGAAAACCTCCGGAAAGCCCGAAAAAACCCAAGAAAACCATAAAAATCCAAAAAAAAACCGACGGATTGGACTTTTTCAAAAAACCCGGGTTTTTTTCTAACTCTGAATCATTTATAGCTCCTATTGCGGAACCTATATTCCAAATTTGAGCTAAATCCCTCAAAATTTGCAGGAGCCATAGAGAAAAAACTAAAAAAATATTAAAATTTCAATACCCTGTAGATCGGTAAGGAAGCGTTTGCGGACCTATGTTGATTAAAAATTTTAGTCATACCTACCTAAAATAAACTAAAGAATCACCCCCTTCCATTTGTACATGATATTTAGGTACACCCTGTATAGATTTGTTCGAGGATTTGTTCTTATACTGACTCTTTGAGGCCTAACTTGACTGGAATAGGACAAAATATCACAAAAAAAAATAGGTCTTTCATCCATACTTGAAACTGGAAATTAGGTAGGTACTATATTGGTAAAGGCTCGGGTATAGGTATAATGGGCCACTTTCACATTTTTCAAAAACATATTTAAATTATTCTTTTAGGGCGGGTATTATAAAACTACTTTGAGAGTTAACTTAAAGTTAACTTCTGGAATTACATGTAATTCAAAAAGTTAACTTCAAGTTAACTGTCAAAGCAGTTTTATAATACCCGCCCTTAGTCATTCGAATACTATCTGTATACTTTTTTTTCCAAAAAAAAAAAAACGCTTACTTATTTTTGAAAAAAAAAAAATATTTAAAAATCGAATTTTTAAACTGGCGCGAAAACGCGAACTTGGTTTGTGACGTCACAAACCAGAAAAGCAACAAAAATGCGAGTATGCCAAATTTCTCATTAGTAAATCATTACACATTTCACTAGCTAAAAACTATTTTCGTCCGTTACTACATTATAAGAAAATAAAGGACAGATATATTCCTTATTAACTCATTCAAATTTCGCATTTCTACATGTGGCAACAAAAACGTCAAAATCGGCTTTGACCAATCAGAGAGCGTTTTCAATCACGTGATTTTTCGTTTAAAATTTTGGTTTTTATTTATTAATTTATTTCATAATCCGACTAAAATCTTATAGTCTAGGAGGCAGTGACGATTTTCGGTACTTATTTTCCCAGTCACGAAACATGGATAGAATTGTAGGGTCAGTAGTTCTAAACAAAATTCATATATATTTAGGGGGGAGTTTTCCGATGGGTTGTGGCGGAAAATGCGTCAGAACATACGAAACCAGGGTCCTTTTTTTTCAAGTGATAAAAATATTTCTACTAGTGAGAGGTATACTGAAATTACGTAAAAAATTAGTCTGGCTAATCTGTGAATATGGATAATATGTCTGGCAAGTGGAAACTGGAAAAATTTTCAACAAAAAAATTTCCCTCATTTTCACAGTCATGAAAATTCATCTGATGATGGCCTATACATATTATAATGTCAGCTTAAAATACAATCTGGCTAATATGGAACACCCCCAAGGCCTTGCCAGATTTGTCGAATGATCGCAGGCGCGCTAAATTTGATTCGATTATACAGGTTATTAGTGTCACATGTAGGTACCATCGTCACCAAAAGTAACTGGGACAGCATCAAATGCATTGAAATAAATGACAGTCGAATTAGTCCAGGAGATTAATATGCATTATTTTTGTCCCAGATACTTTTGGTGACGATGGTACATGTTATATTTGTTTCATCCACCCCTACGAAAATACATTTTTTTATCTTGCATAGGCGAGCAAAAACGCAATTGAAACATGCTAGTATAATAGTCACTTTTACTTTCGCATGCCTATTCAAGATAAAAATTAGTTATTTTTATATACAGTGCGCGAAATGCTTGGAATGTAGATAACTATTGACGAATTCATTAATTTTAATAAAAATGCAAAAAGACTCTATTTTGCATGGTATTTTGAGTAATGTACCTACGAATCTACCAAAATCTGGTTAAGGAAAAATATACATATAACTATATTGAATCAAGCATAATAATCAACGAATAGAAAATAAAATTAAAATTAATCATCTTCTTTATCAATTTCTCCTTCGTCATCGCTATCATTATCATCATAATATCACTATCATCATAATATTCATATCATCAAATACTGGTCGAACTGACAGTTCGTGATTGTAAGTGACAGCCAGACGTGTATTTTCTGTAAAACTATAGTATAATCTATCGTATGACAAATTCTCAAACTTGGGAAAATATAAGGGCAAAAATTTTCTATTTTCCCGATTTTGAACATGCCTCCAGACTCATTTGCCAATTCCGTGAATCAGCCAGACTTAATTTTAATTACAGTTAATGATAGTATCAATTTATATGCTAAATTTCAAGCTTGGAAAAATAAGGGTAACCGATCCGCAAAATCGGTAAAATTTTTGAATCCGAAAATTTCCAGCCAGACTCACATTCCGTGTCTTAAGATAAGCCAGACTGCTATTCTCATATACTTTATGTTCTATTTTAGTAAAATGTGGAATATTTATGACTAGGAAAATAAGTGCACTTGAATTTTCAATTCATCTTGTAAACTCATCCAAAAATTTCAGCCAGACTAGAAAATTATTGTGTTGTGTGACTAAGAAAACAAACTATTTAATATGCACCAACTAGGAAAATAAGTGCTAAAAAATTTCACTGCCTCCTGGACTATTACAAAATATTGTTCATTCTCGGTTGCATTGATGTATCTGCGTCAAAAAAATATCATAATTTGCCATATTCCCAACACGTGAAAGTGGCCTATTGGGCATAGACATATCACAGACCAATAATTGCATGGAGCCCTATAATAATAAAGGCACAAATGAAAAAAATATATTTTCCCCAAATCCCAAGAGTAGTAGGTATAGTAGATAGGTATACTTCTTGTTTCTTTCTAGGACCACCGAGAACCGGCCTATTGTAAACAATTAGGTACAGAAAATTCCAAAAAAAGACCTCTAGCATTCAAAGGCTAGATTCGATTCCATTTAGTTATTATTTATTGAAAAAATTATAGTAAATTTACAGAGTAGAGCCCCATGGCTGTGCTTCTGCCAAACTGTCAGGGGCGACGGGATTTTGATTGAATATTTCGTTATTTTCAATAAATTCTGACATAAAAAGCACTTACCGGTTATCGATTGTTGTTCTGCCTGCCAAAACAGTTTTATACAGGTAGAAAAAAAAAACACCTATCACTAATTTTTCAGGAAAAAAATACAAACACCGGGAAGAGAACTCTAGAAACAAATAAAAAAACTAACTTTGCGAATCTGGCGTCTATGGCCTCCTGGCCAAGTGGCGGCAAAATTGCCGCAAACACAATGATGGCGGACGGTTCGACGGCTGCGACACCTATTAGCAATTTTAGAAACGAGTGCAAAAACAAATTAATTCCAATATTTAGAAAAAGCAAAAGTGGATGGTGACTTTGGAAATGTATAATTTAGTGAATAATAAAGTAAATTTCAGCAGAAATTCTTGGAAATTAATATAAATCTTTGAAAAAAACCTTTGTCGTTAATGCAGAATTCTTTATTACCTCAAATAGGTGCTTTCTTTTATTCCCCTGTGAAATTCAAAATTGAAAAGTTCGTTAGGATTGGGCCAAGCGTGGCCAAGCCAAATTAAACATTTAACTATCAATTACTATATTACTAGAAACTCTGGATATTTTGGGCCATATAGGTTTCACAGTTTAACGTTAATAAAAATAGTAAATTAAATAAGAAATTATCAAAAAATGTAGATTTTGAATAACTGATTTGTATCCGACAAGGATAGGTATATTATAGGAACTAATTCTCCTATTTATATTTATTACTGGTGTTAGTTTTTCCTAAAGCATTGCATGATTGCATCGAACAAAAGTATGTAATACAAGCACAGTCCGATAAAGTTATCCTGGCGAGTGGCGGCAGTAAAATCTATGAAGCAACTGAACAATAGAAAAACAATAATGACTGTGGACTGATTTTGTTCATGGTTTTAAAAATGAGTAAAATTTCAGCTTTTGCATTTATTTGGACACACAACTTTAATACCTATCTCATCTATAAATATTCTAACTTACCATGTATCTGTACCATCCTAATAATTTTCATATGAATCACTGATCATCTAATAATTGAAAAAAAACTGATAATTATTTGTCCCTGAAGCATAAGTCAGTGTTGCTTCTGGCAATAAATAGCAAGTTTCTATGACTCACTTACCACATTCTTATCAAAAATTTTCAATGCAATAAAATGATTCAAGTTTTTATCAATTATTATTGTGAATTTATTAATAGAAATTTTAGATTAACGAAGATTGAATCCATTGGAGATTTTAACTTAATTTTTTTTCTATACAGAATTCCAAACATGTAGAATATTATTAAAATTAAATTCAACACAATTTTATAGGAAAAACAGTTTTATTTTGTTTTAGAATACAATAATATAGTATGGAAAAGTTAAAGCTATTACATAGATACGCAATTCACAATGTGTTTATATGTAACTATTTTTCTATAAAAAAAGTCAATAAACCCTTCATACTAACACAAAATATTGAATTGAAAACCTATATTAAATTTAGAATTTGTAAAGAACTGTAAAACTGTACAGAAAATTTAATTTAAAAATATATTTTTTGTTGAAAAATAAACATATTAAAGGCATATTATTATAATAGCAAACAGGGTAAAGAAGATGTGGACGTTGTAACCTTGTGCACTTGACACTCGTTAATAAACAATAACTTTAATTAATCCTACAATCAAAGAGTACAACAAATAATATATACCTAATAGTAATAATAATATTAATAAGATTGAATCATAATAAAAGAAAAATAAATTCAGAAAAGGGGGTGGCTTTGTTTTGTTAGTAATACATAATAATATAGCAAAAATCCCCTTTCTTAATAAAAATCGTTCATAAATGATTATTAATTATTATTAATTTCAATAATAATATGAATACTTATTCTTGTTCAAAACAAAATGCAACGATGCTTCTTCTTCTTTTTGACTTGTAGTGCAGCACGTGTAGCATTTTCAAAGACTTCTCGGACGCCTTCCTTGCTTTTAGCTGAACACTCAAGATAAGCAAATGCGTTGATTTTTTCAGCCATAGATCTACCGTCCTGCGGTTTCACTGGTTCTTGCTTCATCTTTTTCAGCTCGTTGATTGTAGTGGGATCATTACGGAGATCCTTTTTGTTACCAACTAAGATAATGGGTACATTAGGACAAAAGTGTTTAACTTCAGGGGTCCATTTTTCGGGTATGTTTTCTAAAGAATCTGGCGAGTCTACTGAGAAGCACATAAGGATCACATCTGTGTCTGGATAAGACAGGGGGCGAAGACGGTCGTAATCTTCCTGCCCGGCAGTATCCCATAAAGCGAGTTCAACTTGCTTTCCATCCACTTCAATGTCGGCCACATAATTTTCGAAAACGGTAGGCACGTACACTTCAGGAAATTGGTCTTTACTAAACACAATCAACAGGCAAGTTTTCCCGCAGGCTCCATCACCGACAATTACTAACTTTTTTCGAATAGCTGCCATCGGACCTACAAAAACACAGGCAAAATATTTAAAAAAAAGTCAACGCCTATCCCAAAATGACTAAACTTAAAGATGGCGGATATTTTAATCAGGAAATGAGAAGAGCAGAGCGGGGAGGAGCTGATAGTTTAAACATAAAATTTACCTTTTCCAAAGTCCTCCTGTTGAGACCAACAACAAAACATCCAGTTAAATTCACTGGAAATAAAAAGTTCGACCGATCTTGTCGGTGAAACACTACAATTACTTGAAATAAAAAGCAATTTCTATTTTAGAATAAAATAAACAAAATGGGAATGGGAAATTCCTTTTGGACGATGATGTCAGTGGCGACTGACGTCTGACGTACGAAAATGAGTGGGGAAGGTATGTCAAAATAGAGCACAAATAACCAAGCGTTTTCAGCATGCTTCGGTTTAACATACCGCGGTTACAGAACGGTTTCCTATAGCGTTTTCGATTTTACTGCTCCCAGAGCGCTCTCGGTCTGGTGGTTGACACAGATCACTGCGGAAACAAAACAATTTTATTTTTTTTGTTTTAGGGTGTTTTTTCTACTGCTTTTCTTGCTTCAAGCAGATTTCAGCAGCAGATCGGCGTTGACTTGTCCCATATACCTACTCATTATCTATTGTTTTCAGCGGCCGAATTATGAACATCCGATACGGAAAGATTCCGAGTCGAAGGTAAACTCGAAGCGTATACGCATCGTAATGAACGGAAAAGCGATTACGAACACACGAATCGGCTTAATCAGTTGTTCGCGATCAAAATGGTAGAATGCGAAACTTCTCGCTGGAGGTGACGTCAGCTGCAGTCCTTTATTGTTGCGTTTACTATGTAAATGCATCATTCATCATTAAATGCATGGAATTGTTCGGAAACTTGCAGTATCTTTATGGATTATGGTTATGAATATCTAAAGATTGCAACTATTTTTTGCTTTATATTTGGATATTTAGAAATGCAAAAATTAAATCATTATAACAACCTTGTGTTTTGTGACAAACAGAGAATCATATTAATTATGGAACATTTGGCCAAGGGTGATTTTTGTAGTAAATAAAAGCCGTGTACTTTATGGCTAAACTTTCTAATTATACCTTTCTACACGTAGATTTTTCTTTCCATATTGTTGGTAAATTTGGCTTATAAATATAATCCATTCTAATCATTGTTCTTAGCTTGCAAAAATTTAAATGAAATGGTGATTTTTTTTTTCCGTTTTGAATATTTATCTTGCCAAGTTTTAAGTTTTGTACCATTCCTTGTCTTTTTCAAGAGGAATCTCCATGGTAGAATTGGAAATAACAGTTTCGCTGTTGATGCTAGTCATGTCATAATAATTATAACACTAGAGCATAATAATATTTGTTTTCCGAGGCACAGGTTAACATTATTGGGAAAAACTCCATGTGACATGGGAATAAAACTTGTCAATACTAATCAATGAATTAAAAATAGACAGAAGAAAAAATGTTTGCAAGTAAACTGAAAAAGATACTTATTGTGTTGGAACCATATAGGTAGTACACAAGAATATTTGAATGATAGTAATGATACACATATAACTGGAAAGAATGTTATTGTTCTGAGTAGCATTATATGGTGTAAGGTCTTTTTTGTAACGCCATTTCATTTCATGGTTTATGTGTATATGTTGTTACATGTTACTGTAATCTGAAATAAAGTTAACAATAAATAAATAAAATTGGACACAACGATTTTTAAAGCTAACTGAAATGCTCTGTTTTAAATAGAAACAGTCCGGTCGAGGACTGCGACTTATGGCATGTGACGTCAGTCGCAGTACTCGATTATCGTTATTTTGGCGAACGTAATGTCTTATGGCCATGGGCCCGACTCGTCTATCTAGGGTGGATGCTCGCATGTATGTACGAATTATATTTTAATAAAAACCATAGATAAAAAAACAAGAAAAACAATACGAAGCATAGCGCACCCCAATATCCAATGGAACAACAAGAAAAACAAGAACAAAACCAAAACGAGTGTGTGTGCAAAAAGGACAGAAAACGATTCCGTCAACAGCTGTTGTCGGAAGCTACGGAATGGTTCTCGATCCGAGTTATCTCGCTTCGAGTACGTTCATAACCTCTTTTCGGAGAAAAGATGGAGGATTCGGTTCGTATCGGACGTTCGTAATCGGGCCCCAGTTTGATCGTTTATTCCATCGAATTTGACGGACCAAGAAAGAGCGTGTAAAGTCTGTTTTTTTTTTAAAGATAATTCCCCAAGTCAAAAATTTAGTAATTATGTTGGCAACACAAAGCCTTTTCTACATAAAAAAATTGAAAGCATTGACAATTTTACATTGCATTGCCAACATACCCTGCGTTTTTATTCTCATCAAATTTTACCGATGGATCCACCATTAGCTGTATTCCTTTCAAGAGTTTCAAACACTTGAGCTACTCGCTCCGGTGTTTAGTCGCCCCCGATTTTCAGGGAACAGATGCGTGGTGTAGCAAACACTTTTCGAAAGGAATAAGTGCGTGAAGCCCCGGAGTTGTTCCGGAGCTCCTCCTAGGAGTGAAAGGAATACAACTAATCTATGGCCGTCATTGTCATTTTCCATTCACTAAACAAAGATAAGTTACTCACCGGTGAAGTCACCGATGAGAATAAAAACGAGGGAATAATGACATTTTGACTTTTATCTTTAAAAAAAAACACACTTTAAGCGAGATTTGAGACCCTTCTAATAGCTCAAGACGAACACGTGAATTTCGCCGATTTCGCCGAGAGCAGCGCTCCGTTTTGGATCAGTTTTTGATCAATCGGGAGCAAATTTGGGGCAAATTCGAAAACGCTTATTAAACCTGAAAACATTTAGCTGGAACCAGAGCCGTTTTCTCGCGTCCACTTATTTCAAAACAGGTTTGAAACGGGAAATGGTAACACCATCGCCCGTTTCAAACCTGTTTTGAACCAATGTCAAAAAAGTGGACATGAGAAAACGCCTCTTGGCTGGGGTAGAATTCCACTTTCATGACGTCACCCGCGACCTATTTATCGCGTACAAAATTCTAGTAATTCTACTTTCATGACGTCAGTTTGCCTATAGCAACTAGCAACCATCATCATCGCCTGTACTGTACGCGATAAATAGGTCGCGGATGACGTCACGAAAGGGGAATAGGCCCCTTGAATCAAATTTTTCTATTGCTGATTTCGATAGTCCATGAAAAATGAGTCAACACGTGTTTTTTCTTTTTCTTGTTAGTCAAAAATTGACGGAGATACAACGCTTTGAAATGTCCTTCCGACGTCATAACTTAGGTATAATACGTTGTGAGTTGTGACGTCGCACATGCTCAGTATATATAAAAAACTTAATATTTGTATAACTTCCGAAATAAACATATTTAGGTGAAATAAAAAAAAAGTAACTATTTTTTTTCGATTTCCTACAGTGTGCAATAAACAATAATCAATTTAATTTTCCATGCAAGTACCCTATTCTACTTGTGATCCCAACGCTGGAACTTTCGGTTTTTTGACGGCTACGTCTTTTGATTAGGGCGGACGGTTTTATTTTTCCTGATTTCGCACTATTAAAAGCAAACTGTTTAATCGGCGACCAATGAACTACCAGCGAAATGTTTACTACTCAAATGGAATGGCACCAGCATTTATCCCGCCTGAGGCAAATTTCTAATGGAATAAATGGATGGCAGTCTTTGTGTTAACGCATTACACTGGCCGAGTACGTTTTTGTCATCTTTTTCGTCGATTTGCTCCGAGATTTGTAAACTGAAACTGTCTTATCCAGTCACGTGCCCGGTGCCCGTCAAAATTTCGGAGCAAATCGACGAAAAAGATGACAAAAACGAACTCGGCCACTGTAGGCAGACTTGGTGGATTTATTAAACCCACTCATTGCTCGTAAACGTGTATGCGTGCGACAAATCAAACAACCGCTTTTATTAGTTGTATTCCTTTCACACCTAGGAGGAGCTCCGGAACAGCTCCGGGGCTTCACCCGCTTATTCCTTTCGAAAAGTGTTTGTTGCACCACGCATATGTTCCCTGCAAATCGGGGGCGACTAAGCACCGAAGCGAGTAGCTCAAGTGTTTCAAGCTCTTGAAAGGAATTCAACTATTGTCGTTCTCCCTACGAAACGCTATTTTGAAACGTTTAAAACAGGATCTGTAAACTGCGAACATGACCCATAAACACTCGGAGAAAAGGGTAATCGGAAATTCCCCGAAATCTTGCCGCATAGACCCAAGAATAATACACACTACTTAGGCCACGTTCCGTAAGTTAACCAAGATTCTTGGTTTTTCCGGTTCCCGTTCCGTAACCTAACCACTCCCGAAATCTGGTTAGGTTATGAAACGCGGTTCCACACATAAACCGCATTCTCAGCAACCAGACTGTCACCATAGACGAACCGCTTCATACCAATCGGTAACTCTGGTTAAGATACGGAACGCCGCCTTAAGGATCGCTTATCGGCATCCTTTTTGGGTATCGCCGCCATATTAGTGTGTCACCATTCCCGACATCATTAATAAGCTGTCAGCTGTTTGCACTAGCGGTCGTAATAGTTTGGAATTTGAATTTATGTAAAAAATTATTATTAAATTTTGATATTGATTTTGATTAACACAAGGTACGTGGGTTCGGCTTGCTCATTCCGTGCACTCCGAGTGACTCCATTCGCACTCCAGCCGTTCGAGTATTGATTTTTGGCGTATTAGGGGTGACTCCATTAGAGTTCGACTATACGGAGTGGAGTAAATGGAGTTCACTCCAAAAGTGCTACCTCGGAAAGAGAATTTTTTAGAGTAAGCATGCGCAGAAGTGGAATGTGTAAACTGTCAAGCCTGTTGTGTTGTCACGTTGTGGTTGTTGTTAAAAAAATTAAAAAGTGAAAAAAAATGTTTAAAGGTTAACTGTTGTTTTGAAACAAAACAAATCAGCTGTTTGACATTTTTGCTCCGACCGTTCCGGTGGTTCGTGTATTAATTTTTCACTCTAATCACTCCTAGATCACGTGACAAAAATCTGTTCTTACTCCACTCCAACTCCGTGCGCTCCGTGCTGAATAGCCGAACCCAGCTGTTAATTAATGTAAATAGTAAAACCTAGTATGCATGAAACAAAAGCCCGTGGTTTGCCTGTGGTGCAAACAGCCTACGTCAAGGCAAGAAACTCATGCTACTACGCCACAACTGGTGATTTGGCGTGGTGGGGGGCTCCAGCTTTGTTCCACACAGCCTTATGAGGATCCCCGTGTGGCTAAATTCAGCTGGTGTTGGCACCGTGGTGGAATGGTAGAAAGAGCAGTGTTGTTAAATTAAACAGAATTTGACAAGCTGTGGTTTGGCATTGGC